GCCAGCTGGCCTCTTCCCCTCTTCCACTCTTCATCTCTTCCTATCTTTTCTTTCTGTCCTCCTCTGTCCCCCTTTCTCTGCCTCTACCCTCTTTAACTTCTCAAATAAACTCCCTTTTATACTAAGTTGGTCACATGGCTTGACTGTTGTGGGGAGGGTTGCCCCAGCATGGGCCACCCAGAATGTCCCATTCTAGTCTATCACTGCATCACCCCAAGGTAAACGGGAGAGGCAGGCAAGGGGCAAGGGAGGATGGGGAGTGGAGTGCTGAGGTTTAACTGTCTCTTTGGGTCCAGCTGAGACTGAAGCAGGGAGTGTAGTTATGGGAACCTGTGGCTGGGAACTGCAAAGCAGGTGGATGGGAATCTGGAGGCCTGATTTAGCTAGAATGAAGCCAGAAGGTTGGACGTCTATGAGTCCTTCTCTTAGCATATTTAACCCTCTCTCACTGGCCCTCACCCACCCCATTATGGCAGTCCCTTGCTTCTAAATCTGCCTGCTAGTCCTGTTCAAAACCCAAGCACACCTTCCAATCTCAAACTGAAGATTTTAATGTAGTATACCAGTAGTTTCTCTGACTTTGGAAAAGAAGTTTCCTGGAATTAAGGTTGGAGTCAAGGCATAACATGACATCTCTTCCTCTTTAAAACAACAACAACAAGCAAACAAAAATATGAGTTTTTGTTTTGTTTTTAAGATGTATGTATTTCATGTATATTAGTGTTCTGTCTGCATGTATATCTGCATGCCAAAAGAGGACACTGGGTCCATTATAGATGGTTGTGAGCTACTATGTGGGTGCTGGGAATTGACCTCAGGACCTCTGGAAGATAAGCCAGTTCTCTTAAACTCTGAGCTAGCTCTCCATCCCTTGGAGTTTCTTTTTTCCTTCCTTCCTTCTTTTTTTTTTAAAGTTTAAATTACTTTTATTTTTATGTATATGTGTCTTTTGTCTGCATGTATGTCTGTTTATCACTTGCATACCTGGTGGCTGCAGAGGCCAGAACAGTGCATCAGATCCCCTGGAACTGGAGTTAGAGATGGTTGTGAGCTTTTCTTATGGTACTGGGAATGTAAGCCCCAGCCAGTGCTCTTAATCCCTAAACCATCTTTCTAGTCCCCTCATTTAAATTTATAGCAACTTTTTGAAGAAAATTTCAGAATTCACCCAAACTATGAATGGCCATTGGAAAAATAATGAGGTACAGCTCTCCTTTAAGAAGCCACATTCAAAACCAGTACCACCTGGGTGATTCTTACACATTACCAAGTACAGCTGTAGCATGAGGTATAGCCTTGGCTATCTCTAGAACGGCTTCTTTGTGCTCTCAGAAAACACTTCCCAGATTTCACCTCAGAGATGCTGGTCTCTTCTTAATCATCACTAATTTCTTTTTTTTGTTTTGTTTTGCTTTTGTTTGTTTTGTTTTTGTTTTTCGAGACAGGGTTTCTCTGTATAGCCCTGGCTGTCCTGGAACTCACTCTGTAGACCAGGCTAGCCTCGAACTCAGAAATTCACCTGCCTCTGCCTCCCAAGTGCTAGGATTAAAGGCGTGCGCCACCACCACCCAGCCATCACTAATTTCTTAACTCCAGCTAACCAGCATCAATTGTCCCACTAGTCCCTTCTATTTTTCACTCTAAAGCCAGAGCCACATGGCCGAAGCTGCTTGTTCTGCTGCTTGCTGGGGCTGGAACTTGGCCCTGTATTAGTCAGGGTTCTCTGGAGTTACAGAACTTATGGGTAGTCTCTATATAGTAAGGGAATTTGTTATGATAACTTACAGTCTGTAGTCCAATTCCCCAACAATATTTAGCTGTGAACGGAAAGTCCAAGGATCCAGTAGTTGCTCAGTCCCACAAGGCTAGTAGATTCCAACAGATGTGCTGGCAAGTAAATGCAACCAGGCAAAGAGTGAATCTTCTTTCAATGTAGGTCTCCAGTAGAAGGTGTGGCCCAGATTAAAGGTGTATACCACCATGCCTGGATCTGGGACTTGTTTTGTCCCAGGCTGACCTTGAACTCAGAGATCTCCTTGCCTTAATCTTCTGGGATTCATAGCCACTATGCCTCAAGATCTCCATGCCAAGATCCAGGTCAGAAACTTGTATCTCCCAGCCTCAAGATATGGAACACAGGTGAGCCTTCCAATTCTGGATTGTAGTTCATTCCAGAGATAGTCAAGTTGACAACCAGCAATAGCCATTAGAGCCCCCTTGATATATTACATTATCACCAGCTTTCTGTTTTCCAACTCTTTCACTCCCTAAGCTTAGCTGTCCTGGAACTAGCTCTGTAGACAGACTTTAAACTCAAGAGATCTGCATGCCTGTCTCAGTGGGATTAAAGGTGTGTACCATCACACCTAGACTTAACTTTTCTTCATCTAGAACTTGCAGTGCCAGGCTGGCCTTGAACTCAGATCTGCTTGGCTTTATCTCCCGGGATTAACGGTGTGTATCACCATGCCTGGATCTAAATTTAGCTGGGTAGGATCTTGCCCCTAAATCCCTTAATCTGTTATCTCCTAGAACATAGGATTCAGTTCCATTTCACTTCCTGATGCCCCTTTAATACTTGAACTACATATTTTATATTTTTTCCTTTCTAAGCTTGCTATGCTTATTCAAAACACTCTTCATGAGACTCAACCAGAGAATAAAGTCTATGGTGGGCATTTCTGAGACTTCTTTTGTCAATGCAATTAATCTGAATCTCTTCACCTTAGGCTCAGGCAGACTCTTCAGACAAGGCAAAAAGCAGCCATGTTCTTCACAAAAATACTACAAAAACAGTCTCTAGGCCACATACTGAAGTTCTTCTCCACTGAAACATCTTGGACCAGGTCTGCACAGTTCAAATCAATTACAGCCAACAAAGTCTTCCATATTCCTACTAGGATGGTTCATGAAGCCCCACTGAAAACATTCCATGGCTTTCCAAATCCAAAGTCTCCAAATCCACATTCTTCCAAACAAAAGCATGATCAAGCCTATCACAGCAATACCCCAGTCCCTGGTACCAACTTCTATCTTAGTTAGAGTTTTACTGCTGTGAACAGACACCATGACCAAGGCAACTCTTACAAGGACAACATTTAATTGGGGCTGGCTTACAGGTTCAGAGGTTCAGTCCATCATCAAGGTGGAATCATGGCAGCATCCAGGCAGGGATGGTTCAGGAGGAGCTGTGAGTTCTACATCTTCCTCTGAAGGCTGCCAGCAGAATACTGGCATCTAGGCAGCTAGGATGAGGGTCTTAAAGCCCACACCCACAGTGATACACCTACTCCAACAAGGCCACACCTACTCCAACAGAGCCACACCTTCTAATAGTGCCACTCCCTGGACCGAGCATATACAAATGATCACAATGATGAACACATGATTATCATACTCCAGCCAGAGGCTGGGTACACAAACTGTTTGCATTATACAAAGATTTTCATTCAGCTAAAAGATTTAGTGACTGCCTTTCATATGCTAAGTATAGTACAAGATGTTGAATCAAAGAAAATGGAAAATTCTTTACTCGTAGAGGTTATAATCAGGTGGCAAATACAGTGAAAGGGAGACAGGCATATTGTTGAGGTACCTCCATAACTAATCTAGACTAAGAGTCTGAGAGATCCCTAATAAAATACAACAAAGCCACACTGAAGAATCCATACAGAATTAGTATCATCCATATATGAGTTCCTTTGGTTTAATTTGTAATTTCCTTTGATCTGATTTTAGTTGTATAATAATCATGTGTATTAACATCAGGTGAACTGGTTTTGGTGATGATGCTCCAAAGGTGGTGGCATGAGGGTCGTGAGTTCAAGACTAGCTTTACCTATAGTGAGCTTGAAACCAGCTTGGGCTACATGAGACTCTGAAAAGGCCAAGCTATTACAGCTAATGATGATAATATGTTTGGGTGTGCACACTCAGTAAGATAAATCAGTATCGGGACCCAGATTATCCTCTCTTTTTCAGTATCTTTTCAGTCCCTCAGAGAAGCACTAAAGCAAATTTAGAAGTGGCAAACTAATACTGGAGATAATGCAATAGGAACCAAGGTATTTAGTATCATTGATTGGAAACGCTGTCTCTTGAGTCGAATAATTTGTAGAATATGAATTCACACACAGGTTGCAATAGATTATCTTAGTTTTTTTTTCCAAAAAAAAAAAACCCTCATTAAGGATAACCTTTCAGAATCTTCATACTGTTGTCAAAATTCCAGAAACTATTCACAACTTTATTATAGCAAACGGAAAGGGGTAGACGCAGGAGAAGACACACACAAAATGATAGTCAAAGGAGGAGTCAAGAATAAGTTAAAAGCCCAAGGTGGCAGCACACACTTGTCTGAAGGTTGAGGAGGACCACGCAGAAGCTGTGTAAAATATCTACAGCTGGAAACAGCACGATGCGTACTACAGCTGCTAGGAATTTCCACAGACCAAACAAACATCAAGAAGACAGTGGCTTTCTCCTTCTACCAGTTTCATTATGGAAAATGTCTAGAGCATACACAAGCACAAAGAATATTTGTTCGTCTACCACGCAGCATCAACAGTCATCATTTCTACCTCCCACTTCTTGGCATTCCGAAGTCAATTCCAGCTAGCCTATCATTTTACAGACTCTAAAGCGGAGGCTTGCGAGCCAAGGCACTTGCTGTTCAGGTCCACTATGTGGCAGCCCTTTAAGTACGATGGTATGTAAAATAAGACTTAAGCAAACGGATTTTGAAAGAAGAAACTGAAATACCAGAGGAAGTGTTTGACAAAACAACCTCCAGAAGGCGCTCTTTTTCCTCAGGGAAGGGACTAGGTCTGCCAGCCCCGGGACCAGCCTTTTAGGGACTGGGATGTTTCGAGCCCGCCCACCAGTTCCAGCAGCCCCTGCGCTCATCCGCGTCGGGAGCAGCTTACTGTTCCTGACGCCCTGGCCCGGGCTCGTGAGCGCTTGCGCCGTGCGTCCCGGGCTCGTGAGCGTGCGCGCCGTGCGTCCCTCGCTCGGGGCCGTGCGCGCAGGGCCTCCCGGCTCGTTCGTCCCCAGTCATCCTAGAACGGCCGGGGTCGGAGAACCGTGTATCCAGCCATGTTCTCCTTGGCGCTGCGGGCCAGGGCGTCCGGCCTCACCGCTCAGTGGGTAAGAGGCTTGGGGTGAACCTGAGCACTGTCGCCACAGTCTCCCGCTCTTCGTGCCTCCCTTAGCTTTGGTACCGGGAGACCCCAGGGGGCTGGACAGGTCAGCTGGCGGCGGCTGGACGCCGCGGCCTTCGTTCTCGGTGCCTCTGGGGTGCACCGCAGCTGCGGTGGCTGCGGGGGAGGGCCGCCCAGATAGAGCCGGGAAAGTCACCCCAACTTAGTCAAGGTCAGGAAGACGGTTGTCATTCGTCCTGGCGCGGAATCTAGTGAGGCCCGGGTGGCCCGCTACTTCCAGGATCCCGGCCACGAAGAAAGGGGCTTCTTGTCTGTCAGGTTTAGCGGCAACGCTGCAGCAGAGTTAAAAGCATGCTGGAGAAAACGCTGATATGCTTGGTGAAGGCTTGCTGAGTTCCTTCAGGCCTAGATAAAGATGACCAGCGTTTCATTTACTGAAGTTGTTCATTCGTTATAGGAAATGCTCGGCGAAAAATCGTAGGAATTAACCGTGAAAGAATAGTAGCACGAGTAACTGCACTGACTAAAGAGTCCTAGTTTTATGTTCATTTGAGTGTCATGTACATCTCAAATAGGCAAAAGGAATTGAATTGAAGTTGAAACACTGAAGCGAAGCTAAAATGCAGATTCCAGAGCCTGCGAGATAGCTCATTGTGGAAAGGCGCTGGCCTCCAGGTGAGAGGACTAGTTGCCATACGACCGGAGAGTGTAGGGACGGACACATGATAAATAATGGCTACTGTAATTAATTAATTACATGGCAATTACAGGAAAGAAAGAAGCCTTAATTTTTTGGTTGGATTTAATTTTCCCAACAGTAAAACAAAAATTAAGTTAGTCCTCAAAAAAACACAGTATATATTAGTATAGAATTCATTTAGGGCTTTCGGCTTAAACCTGTGTTTTGAAGGGTAGCATTCCAGGTTACCTTTTGTAATTATGTGACTTGACCTAGAGCAGTTAGTCTTTGTTTCTTAAGCTGTGAGATGGGACTATTGAGTCCGTCCCAAGTTATTTGAAGCCTTAATGTACTTCTAGTTCCAGGTAGCAGTGTGGATTAGATTATAGTACTTCTTTTTTTTTTTTTTGGTTTTTCGAGACAGGGTTTCTCTGTGTAGCCCTGGCTGTCCTGGAACTCACTTGGTAGACCAGGCTGGCCGCGAATTCAGAAATCCGCCTGCCTCTGCCTCCCAAGTGCTGGGATTAAAGGCGTGCGCCACCACCGCCCGGCGATTATAGTACTTCTTTTTTCCTTTTGAAACTAGATTTCACCATGCAGCCCTGGCTGGCCTGAAGCCTGCTAAGTGTGCCGTGCTGGCCTTGAACGCTTGTTGGTCCTCTTGCATTGACTCTTGAGTGCTGAGATTACAGGTGTGAGCTTCCATGCCCTGCCGGAGTATAGTAATGATGGGTGATGCTTGGTGGCCCTTTGGTGTGTGTTTAATAGGTGAATTTATATCTTATTTTAGAAGGCGGTGCAGTGTTGTCATCACTACAAATTATAAACAGAATTCTGGTTTTTGTGGGGTTATTTCATGTAAGAACACTAATAAGGTACATATGAGTATGGTTGGTCTGATATCCTAGCATTCAGGAGTTAGAGGCAGGAAGATCAGAATCTTTGTTATCTTTAGATGTATATAGTAAGTTTGAGGTCTGCCTGGCCTATATAAATTCCTGTTTGTAAAATATCTGCAACTCAAATCCCAGCCCCCTACAACAAACAAAAAGGTAACCATGGTAGTGTAGAATAGTAAAGAGTCAGTTTTATGTACAGTAAAGTTCTGCTTTGAGTAGATGACTGGTACAGGAATGGGAGTGGAGTAGGTCTGGTTGGAGTCAGACACCGCAAGGTTCCATAGGTAAGAGAGACTCTGAATCATTCTGCTGAGGAGGAGACTACTAAGAAGTAGGGGCAAAGAAGTTCCCATAGACATCTTCTGTTTCTTTTGTTTTTTGAGGCAAAGGGTAACAAGAGGTATAATTGAAAAGCAGGGTTTTGTTTTGTGGGTGCTGTTGTTTTGAGACAGTTTTTTTTTTTAAATACAATGTTCAACTTTTTTTTTTAGATTTATTTATTTTATGAATTTGAGTACACAGTTGCTGTGATCAGACATACCAGAAGAGGGCGTCAGATCCTCAGATGGTTGTGAGCCGCCATGTGGTTGCTGGGAATTGAACTCAGGACCTCTGGAAGAGCAATCAGTGCTTTTAACCCCTGAGCCATCTCTCCAGCCCGAGACAGTTTTCTTAATGTAGCCTTGGCTAGCCTGGAAGGAAGACCAACCTGGCCTCAAACTCACAGAGATCCACCTGCACTAGCAAGTCTCTGCTTTCAGTTTGAAATGTTTTTCCCCTATGACAGTGGGTTTTGTGCTGTCACCCAACATGCTCCCTACAATGAATAATTTTGAATTGTATCCTGGACATAAGAACATGTAAGTTAGACATTACAGTCTAACTTACTTCTCTGAAGAATGTTCATCCCCATTGTCGTGAGTGAGTGGTTCTATTTTAGCTCCTTATAGTCCATCATTACACAGGGGTCAGCCAGTTCTGAGTAGTTTCTGTCTTCATTTTGGTACGTCCTTTCCTGGGATTTTTCACTTGTCCATGCCTGAGATTATCCACTTTCTTCGCTATAAGTCAAACCATTTAAGACTGCTTTTTAATTTTCTAATATTTATTTATTTATTTATTTATTTATTTTGAATTCTTTGTTTGTAGAACAGGGTCTTACTGTGTAGCCCAAGCTGGCTTTAAACTCTGGCAGTCCTCTTAGCATACCTCCTAAGTGTTGGTGTTACAGGTGTGAGCTGTCATACCTAACTTACATGAGAGATTTTTGATTTGTTTGTTTGAGACAGGGTTTCTCTGTGTAGTCCTAGTTGGCCTGTTACATTAGAGATACTGAAACCTAACTCTGTAAAATCCCAGTAGGCCCAAAAGACATTTTACCTTTTAGGATAGGCATGTTTCTACATGTCCTTAACCCCAAAGGCAGGAGGATCTCAGTGAGTTTGAGGCCAGGGATACTTAGTGACCTTTCTAAAAAAAAAAAAAAAAAAAAGCAACAATAACAACAACAAAAAAACCCCAAGAAATTTTATCTTAGTGTGGGTGTATCTTAAAATCCTTAATCCCAAAACATTTTACAGATTTTTCTTAACTTATGCTGGGTTTACATACACTCCTACTTTGAAGGTCAAAGATTTAATAATAAATGAAACAGTATAGCTTGCCAACAGAGGATTCTATAAAGTAGTTTCACCCTTTTGTTTTTTCTCTGTGTGTGTGTGTGTACGCATATGTACAATATGTGTGTATAGTGTATGAGTGTGTAAGTATTCCTTTTTGAAGCTGCCCAGGGAAATTGTATATGGTGAACAACTAAGTTGAACAAATGTTGTCATTATGGAAGCATGGCCAGTTCCTTCCTCTAGTGGCTGACCAGGGCTAAGAGTAGGAAGTTACCATGGTCACAATAGGTGAATGGGAGGTGGAAGGCATAAAGTGCTGTAAGTTGAAGTAACTGCATGTCTAAGGAGGGAGGTGCATGGTAGACTGGAGAGGAATAAGAGGGCGGAAGCCTGGATTGAAAGGGTCAAAAGACCTTTTCTATGATATGAGAGGATTTAGATTTTGTCCAGAGACATGAACAGTTACAGCAGATGCATAGCATGCTCAGATTGGGTCCAGTGCTACCATCTTCAGTCCTCTGCTCATTAGAATTTTTGTGAACATCTCTAGAGATGTGGAAAAGCATAAGACAGTCATGGAACCACGTTATTGGTGGTAATCTGGGGTGGAGGGAGAACTGGGATAGAAGCAGGGCTGGGGAATACAATAGCAGGAATAGCAAAAATTATTCAGTAGAATGTCTTAAGATCTAGTGATTAGTAAGTCAGGGAAAGTATATTGAGATATTTTCTCAAGTCATGTATGGCATTAAGATATTGTGTATAAAGACTGTTAATTGCATTTGATGGTCTTTACCTATAATCTTGGCACTTGGGAGACTGACATAGGAGCATAGAAAGTTTAGGCTAGGGCTGGAGAGATGGCTCAGCGGTTAAGAGCACTGACTGCTCTTCCAGAGGTCCTGAGTTCAAATCCCAGCAACCACATGGTGGCTCACAACCATCCGTAATGAGATTGGATGCCCTCTTCTGGTGTGTCTGAAGACAGCTACAGTGTACTCACCAATAAAATAAATAAATAAATATTTAAAAAAAAAAAAAAAAAAAAAAAAAAAGAAAGTTTAGGCTAGCCTGGGCTATCTAATGAGACTTTTATCTCAAAACAACAAAAAGTATATATGAAAAGTATAATGAACCAGGCGGTGGTGGCACACGTCTTTAATCCCAGCACTCGGGAGGCAGAGGCAGGCGGATTTCTTCTGAGTTCGAGGCCAGCCTGGTCTACAGAGTTCCAGGACAGCCAGGACTACACAGAAAAACCCTGTGTCAAAAAAAAAAAAAAAAAAAGAAAGAAAGAAAGAAAAAGAAAAGTATAATGAAAGGAGGTACCACATGAAGGTAGAAATAACCAAAGTTTCATAATTATGTGCAGAGTCAGGTACAAACTATTATCATCTTCTGATATATTTTTCTGAGAATTTTTCTAGACTTGTCTGCCTGAGACTTAAGCTAGAAATTAAATATCATAAAATTTAATCAGCATTTTATACTAAATGTTGACCCTGTTTTTTAATCTTTAGTAAAACTCTTTGGATTTTATTTTTTGTATAATTTTAAAAGGTCCCTACATGCTCTTAGCATTAGAGTTTACTATCATATGTTTTCCAAATCATGACTACCAATAAAATGTTCCATGAAATAAAAATAAAAAAGAAAAAAGTAAGCCTGGCAGTGGTGGCTCATGCCTATAGTTCCCAACTTGAGAAACAGGCAGATGCTTATTTGTGCAAGAAAAGTATCCTACTAGAAGGGTTATGTTAGACTGATTCTCCAACAGAACAATTGA